CAAGGGGTAAATAGGGAAGAATTGTTTTGGGCTCAGTTGTGATTCTTGCTTTTCTTTCCTAGTTTACTTGTAAGATTCAAGGAGGGGCTGCAACTCACGCCTCTCCTTGGGATGTTGTATGAACTCACTCTAAATCTGCTTCTGAATTAATAAATTTATTATCATTCATCAAAAAAAAAACAAAGATGTATCCCCAAACCAGACATCTTCCTAGAAATGCACTTTATTACCTACACAAGCATCATACCTGATATACAAAAAGAAGGTAACAAATTGTGGATTAGAGGTGTAAATTGGGCCATGTCGCCCGCGGCCCGGCATGAACTTGGACCAGCTTGGCACGACTTGACACAACGGTCCGCGGGCCATGCTAGGCCTGGGGTTTTAGGTCCATGGGCCGGCACGACACGACATGACCGAGCCCAACCCGTAGCTCGGCCCGACACAACCCATATCTATTATTTATATATTTTATATATATTTATATAATATTATATAAATTATAATTGTATAATAATATATAGTATATAATATATTAATAATATAAATATTTTTTTAATTTTATTATACTAATTTATTTAATTATTGTATATATAAGCAATTTTATACACAAAATTCGTATAAAATTAAAATTTAAGTTTTTTATCAATTTTTTTTAAATAAATAGCTTTGGCCCGATGCACGGCCCGACTTGGCCCAAGTCTCGACCCACGGGCCAGCCCGGCCTGCGGCACGGCATGGCAAGGCATGGGCCCGCACGGGCCTGGGCCGTGGGCCGTGCCGGGCTGACCCCCAAAATTTTCATTGGGAAGGGCGGCACGACCCACTTTACACCTCTACTATGGATTGCTTTCCAAGGAGATGAGTGTGATGCCCTAAGATCAAGACCGACGTCCCATTCATTGTCTACCATGCCATGAATGCTTACAATCATTTTATATCACAAGTTCTCTTGTTCCAAAGTCAACCTCCATAGCCATTTCCCCAACAATGCCAAGTTCCTTAGTTTAATATTTTCTATCCCTAGAGTTTTCTCTCATGCATCTTTTGCATACGAGCTTCCATCTCCATCTGGGAGATAATTTCATCTTCAAAAGATATCTTCTCATTTAAGCTAGCAATCACCTGCTGCATTTGAATTATGTTGTTGACCATGGTGTTGAGGCATTGGACTATGGATTCCATGGGGACTTCGGGTTGAGATGGTGGTGAGGGAATTTGATAGAAAGGAGTAAAATTTATATCTGAAAGAAGACAAATGTTCCCCACCAACTTCTGGAAAATCCTACAGGTCTAGATACTCATCTTCTACGTGTGTGTGTGTGTGTGTGTGTATTTGGTATACATCTTCTACGTGTATGGAGTTCTTGAAGTTTCTTCCTTTTTCTTTCTTTCCCAACCCCCTTCTATACTTCTCTTGAGGTTCATGTTCTTTAGGGTTTTGACCCCAATTTTCTTGCAATCTTCAGCCAAAATTCTTGGCACATTTGTCACATTTTCCCCAAGTCTATCAAACAACTCCATTATCACCACCCCATAAGAGAGTGGGGTTGTGTTGCTTGCTACACTCTCATTTATATGCCTCATAATCCCTCAAGGCAGATTGATGCGAGTTCTACTCTTGATACAGTACAGTAATTCTATTCCTGAGATGTGATTAAAAGAACCTTTCCTTGGATGTAATTCTTTGACCTAGGTTTGTACTGCCTCCAGACTAGGATGAGCAATACCTAACCAAGTTAACAAATGTGGGGTTTTTGGTGTGAAAAATTGCATCCCACCTTAATTCTTTTAGTGGTGAAAGCAAATCAATAGCCTCAGATTTTAATGCCTCAGAATCAACCCATTTACCATCTAAAATAACTCTTGGGGAGAACTGTTCATACCTATCTTTGTCACTATTGGTCATGAAGAGCGATTTTACTCTCTTCACTCTTATCCACATTTTCCTTCATTTTTCTTTTTCTTTGTGAGGATGCCATAGAACGAGATGGGGTACTTTTSAGGAGTAGGAGAGATGATTTGTGACTCTGGACTGAGATGAACAGTAGATAGGACCTAGGGACTCAAAATTGAATAGAAGATATGACCACTCATAGAGTGGAATGCTGGAATAGAATAGTAAAGCCCACTCCAAATGGTTAGAATAGAGCTGCTTTGAGTTGAGTTGAGGTAAATAGAGGATATGGCTGATGCTTGTATATATATTTTTTTCTGTTTTTAAGAACTCTGAGGTTCATCTTTTCATCATCATCATCATTTAATGTATGATTGCTCCTTTTAAATGTCCTACCTCTAATGGTCTTAAAGTACGATGTCCTTGATTTTGTTGGCATGAACAATGGTTTGTAATACTCTAAGCTCCTTTAAATGATAATTGCAATGCTTTTTACCTTCCTTTGTTGCCAAAATTTGTTCTCCTATTAGAGTCATTGGTTTGTTTTTCTTTTTCCTTTACCCTAAGATGAATTCTTAGGTCTTATTCTAATTTTTGGGTTTGATAGAGTGAAAACAGGATATGAATTATGAATTGGTCATTGCTTAGAGTTGGTTTCACGTCCTTAATTTTGTTTCAATTTCTATGTATTAGACTTCATCCTGTAGGACAAGTTTTCCCAGTCAATCCATGCTCAATAAGCATCATAGTATGTGAAATGTCTTTGCCTATTAACAATGGAGGCTTAATAGTGCAAACTTACTAAGATTTTCCAAGTTAATGTGAAACATGTCTGAGTAAGTTTGCTCAACAATGTTTTGATGAGATGCATTCTAAAGATCACTCGTGATAGATTTGAGTTTTCAAGGCTACTTGTTGCACTTCTTGGTAACTCAATAATAATTGACCTTTACTTGATCAAGTTTTCTAATGTCTATTCAAATCAATTAAAGAAATGAGCCTTAAGAAGGGAAAACAGTGAATTAGTTTGTAAATCTTTCAATTTATTTATTGGACTTTCAAATCCCAATCTTTGTCTGTCATAATTTTGCCACTGTCAACACAATTAGCATGCAATCAACCAAAGAGAATGGTAGGTGCCAACCAGCTGGTTGGTAAGGTCTCCTGCTGATCGTAGCAGAGACTTGGGGTCGAATCCCGCCTGCACCTGGGTTGGGGGATGGGCTACCCCCACCAAAAAAAAAATCAACCAAAGAGAATGTTAGGGAAAATTCTGAAACTAGAACTGGTTTTCCCTGCAATGAACCAAAAAGAATCAACACATTACCTGTCGAGGGGTGATGAAATGGTCCTACAACGTTCAACCCAACCCTTCTCAACCTGTTAATTGTGCATGTTCCCATATATTATTTTATTCAAACCTTTAAGTTTCAGTTCAACCTTTTTGGACAATGGTGTATGGATGAAGTCTACCTCACATGCCTTTGTTTTCCTTACATTCAAATGTTAATGTTTAACCACGAAAGGCATTAATATCACAATGAACCCATGTAAGTAGGTTTGCAATTGATTTATTTGAGACAATTAGGAGATCTTTTCCAACCGTCTTTTGTCTTCTTCGCTGTACCTGTCTTACGTCATCTTTGCCCAACGAGAAAATAGTTTTATTAGTTTTCGTGTATTATCTAGTCATTTTTCCCAACTGTTGCTTTTTCCAGGAGGAGGAAAACAGCACGTGTCTTCAGGAACAAGACACCAGCACTGATCAATCTCTTCCTGTTGAGGAACCGCCCAAGGTGGTAATCCTTTGCTATGGGGATTTTTATCAGCTAATGCTGCCTTTTTTATGTAAAATGGAGTTTCATTTTCATTTGGCAGGATGAGCCAGAGCAGCAGACTCCAGCTGTCATTTCAGTTAAACAGGAACAAGAAAAACCGCAGTTGGAGCTTGAGGAGCAGAGTCAGATAGATTTGGAGGCAAAGGAGCAACAGTACATTCCACGAAGGACATACCAGAACCAGAGAGGCCGTGGTGGTGGCCGAAGGGGTTATGCAAATGGTCGTGGAGGTCGAAGTGGCAGGAGTGGTGGGGGCTACCAGAACGGGCGCAGCCAATATTACGACCAGCCAGGAAATTATTATCCAAGGAATTACTACAACACTAGGGGAAGAGGTGGTAGGGGTGCTGGTGGGTATGCTTACAACAGTCGTGCATCAGGAACTCCTGGTGGCCATGCACCTCATGACGTTGAGCAGGCTTCTTGAGTGGGATGTTGAGGTCTTCCCTTAGGGTGTCTGATTAGCGCTTTTCTTTTTCTTTTGAGGAGGTGGGAGGGTGGAGTGGGGTGCTTTTAAACTGGGAAATTTTGGTCTGTAATAGAAGGTAGTGTTTTCACCCTCCCTAATGCTTTTGTAGTTCCAAGTATATTGTGGGAGTTAGGATATAACAAAAGTGGTTTTGACTCTGGAGAGAACCCAATAATAACTGTATGATGCATTTATCCGCTTGTCTCTCTTTTTTAGTTTAAAACGTGTAGATTATGAGAAGTATGCGATGATGTTTTGTTGCTACATGCGGGAAGGTGTACAACCACAACCAGCTCATCGATCAATGACATTATTTGCCAGTCCTGCTCTGGTTGCTTTGAATGAAATAGTTATGCTATGCTAGTATCGTTTTATTGATAGCTACAGTCACAAAACGGGGTAGCTCTTTTCCATGGACCCTCATTATGACCAAGGTTGTCAAGCCAATCCTCTGCTGCATTCCCTCACGAAACATGTGCGTGTACTCGACGTTGAGATGAAATTTTCTACAAATCTCTAAGCAGTCTTCAATGAGAAAGTTGATGTTCCAACAATGTCGAATCCACTCCTTCACACATCTGAAGCTTAATCTCTCTCGATGATGATAATGGACCTTTTCTAAAGGATCTTGTAGTTTTTTTTTTCATTTTAATTCTCATCCATCTGATAATTTCTCATTGGATCGGACACTATGGTTAATGGTGAATGTGTTGGTGATTAGACCTGTTCATGGGCCGGGTAGCCCGATAGGCCTAGCCGGGCTGGCCCGGCCTGACCCCTGAACGGGCTTGTGCATGGATTTTAGCCTGTGGGCTTGACCTCGGGCTTAAAAGCCCCACAAAAGCCTGGCCCGACATTTGTAACTTCTAAACCCTAGCCGAATAACCCTTTCCTATTCCCTCTTTTCATCTTCTATCTTCTCTCCTCACTCACTCTTAAGAACTGGCATGAACCCAGACAGGCAGCCACCATTCTCAGTCTCAAAGGCGATAGGCGAGCTCAGGCACTGGCGAACTCAAGCACCGGTCATCTCTTTCTTCAGCGGTGAGTCTTCTCTCTCTCTCTCTCTCTCTCTCTCTCTTGCAGTTTTCATTCTCATTCACTGTCGCATATTCTCAGGAACTAGCGAACTCAAGCACCGACAAACTTAGGCACCGGCTCTAGCTGCGCCACCAGTGAACTCAGTCGCCCCTCTCTCCGGTGGTGAGTCCTGCATTTCTCAACTTTGTACAAATCATGCATTTCAACCTCTATTACTCTGTAGTCTGTACAAGTCATGCATTTTTCAACTCTGTACAAGCCTTGTCAGGCTTCTGGCTTTTTATGAGGGCCGGGTATTTGGCCTACATAAATTTTAGGATCACGGTATACAGCCCTTGTTCTGACATTGGCTCAATGTGTAGAAGTAAAATATCCATGAAAGCTCCTATTAGTTAGAAGCATTCAATTTATAAGGCACATGTTAGGCAGGTTTAGGAATGGCAATAGGGTAAGTTCGGAGGGATTTTCTAAATTCTGTACTCTTCGCACCTCCCTAAATTTCTCAACCTGTATCTACCCCAAAACTTGTAGTGAGTTAGATTTTGAGAATATAAATTCTCTCTGCATATGAAAATGTAAAGTCCTCTTTGACCCTTTCTTCCTTGCATTTAAAGGTAGGGCGGGTTGGACTTAGAACCCACTTCTAAATTTCTATTAATTTTTATTATATATAAACAATAAAATAATATGAACAAACATTAAAAAAATCCAATTATTTGATTAAGATATGTAAAAAAAAACACACACACACACACAAACTATCAATTGTCTTTCATATAAAATTCAAAATATTATTAAAGTCATGGCCTAATACATAAAGGTCATATGCTTTCCAACAATATGCTGGTCAGGGAGGGATGGGTTTACCCTAATACCGTATCCTATTCATACCCGTATGGGTTTTAAATCCCAAAACTCATTTCCAACCTAAAATCCGTCCTTCAAACATAAAAAACCTGTCTGTCATTCGGGTGGATATCCACCAAGGTAGAAATTGCCATCCCTAATCAGAATTATTGAAGGCATGGCTTGATGATATGGCTCTTCTTTCCATTTTCTTTATAACCAAGGAAATAGCATATTTGCTTTGCTGATGAAAGAAAGGAAGAACTTCCAGACATGATTCGATATTCATGCATTTCATTATGTTTGGTCAGTTGGTGATGCAAAGAAGGAGACACTGGAATGTGAATGCATTAAAAGGCAGATCCTCCTTGTAAACACCATAACAAAAGTATGAAATCCATTGTACATGATGCAAGAATAAATCGTAGAGCTTTTCTTTCTTTTTTTCTTTTTCTTTTTCTTTTGCCGCTTGTTTGATTAAACCAGCTCACCAGGGGGCCTCTGGATTAGAAAACCAAATGATACCTACGTCGAGTTGAACAAAACAAAGATTAATTAGGCAAACCATACAAATGTGAGGTAGTAGAAGAGTCAAGCATCCATTGGCATGCACTAACCAGTAATAATAGAGGTTAGAGAGAGCATTTATGCTCCAAATCTTCTAGAAAAAGAACCTTTGGAATGAGAGGGAGAGAGAGAGAATCACAAAATCACAATCACATGTTTGTCAATCGGCCATAGTGTTGGAATCTTATTCCCTCCGCCATTGGATTTTCAGTATTCTAAGAAAACTGGGACCCTTCAGTGACGTTCACAATCGGCCATAGTGTTGGATTCTCCACTGACGTTCACAATCAAGCCTATAAAAGGCCCATTTCCTCTACGCCTTGATAGCAATTGTGAATATTAAGCCCACATAGCCCACAGGGTAGGATTGGCTGTTGTTAGTTTAGTTGAGTCTTGTTGAGACTTGAGGCTTGTCCGTACTCCGTACTCCGTACTCCGTACTCCGTACTCCGTACTCGTTATTTATTTACTTTAGGGCATCAATTCTGATTTCTGACCGCCGACGAGAACGACGCGACGACTTTGAAGTTTGAACGATTTCGGTAGAAATCAGAAACTAGGGCGAATACAAAGCAAAGTGCTGTGGTCAACATCATTTTGTCAAGGAAGAACAGAAAGATCATCATCAGACAAAGATGGGATCGTTTTTCTCCACCCAGCAAGACTCCTCTTCTCTCGCCGGTGCTCCGTCGGGGCCATCTCGCGTCCTCGCTTTCCACTCCGCCTCCGAATGGAGAGCCCACTTCAACGCCTGCAAAGATTCTACTCAATTGGTAATTACAAAACCCTAAACAATTGTCCTCTCTCTCTCTCTCTCTCTCTCTCTCTTGGCAACTTAATGTTGTATACATCCTTCTCTGAAGATGGTGATCGATTTCACGGCGTCGTGGTGCGGGCCTTGTCGATTCATACAGCCAGCACTGGACGAGTTGGCTGCCAAATACACAGACGTCGAATTTGTCAAGATCGATGTGGATGAACTAGTGGTACATGATTTAATTCTACTTTTTTTCATTCTTTTCCTTCCCTTTGATATTTTATTATAATTAATTATTAAATATAGAGGTGAGGTAAATGAATTGAATTAGGGCACTGATCTTTCTCTTGTTTCAATTTGAATTAATTTAGGAGGTAGCACAGGAATTTAAAGTGGAGGCAATGCCAACATTCGTACTGATAAAACAAGGGAAAGAGGTGGATAAAGTTGTGGGTGCCAAGAAAGATGAACTGGAGAAGAAGATCCTCAAACACAGGGGCCAAGCTCATGCTCAAGCTTGATCATTCCCCCCCATTTCCCCTCTTTTTCTTTCTCTGTGTGAGTCACTCAACTCAGCAAAATGTATTATTAGTAGTCTATATCTACTTCTACGATGATAAAAATAAAATAAAAAGATAGAGATGTTAAATTAACACAGTCAGTCCTTGGAGAGAGTAGGGTAGGGTAGGGTAATGAGTCATAACTGTTTGGTGCTTGGCTGCTTGCTTCTCAATAAATTTGAATTTCAATGAGGGGTTTGATTGATAGTTCCTTCTTTCCCCCATTTTTCTTAAGTAAATATCAGTTTTATTGTTAATGAATTTTGGGTTCCTTGTTTGTGTTATTGGTTTCAATTCTTAATGCAAATGCCAAATGCAATACAATCATTCTTCTTCACTTCTTAATGCTTATAAAATCCAAACTTTCTGACGTTGCCCATTTCTTATCCCAACTAAAAAAAATGATCAACCAAACCTTATGCTAGAGAACTGAAGAACTAAATCCAGAGCACATGTTCCATTCTGATTCTTTGATTTCTCTGCCTGGTTACAGAAATCAGAAAACCCCCCTTCAAACCTCTTGGTTTTGTTCAAAACCATTGCAATTTGCAACAATTTAAAAGAAAATAAAACCTGAAAAGTACGGCCTCCAAACTTTGGGAATGGCTTGGAATGGGGATCTGCTCAGAGCGCCCCTCACAGCCACATCCCATCCTACCGTGTATTAGGAACTATCTCCTATGAAAAATAACAAACAAGAACAGGACATTTCCAATGTGTGACTAGAATATGTTATGAGGTTGGTGTGAGGAGCAGATCTGGACTGAGGTCCCACTTACCTGAACTTTTGCCACTACAATGTCTAAATTTTCGAAACTTGTAGCTTAGTCTAGCGGTCAGCATTTTCTCTATTATGTCCAGTTTGGAATATTTTAAAATTCCAAATTACTCTTTGAAATAATATATTGTTTATTGTCTTTTTCCTTGAGATTGAACTAGAGTAGCGGGAATATTTTTCTTTTATTATTTTTTTTTGATAAATGAGAGCGGCAATATTTTTCTTTTATTTTATCCTTTAGAAATTATGAACTAGGGGAGAGGTGATCTTTGTCTTTTGTCATTGAAATTTTTATTGCTTTAATGGTCGTAGAAGAAGAAAGGAAAAAAAGAAGAACGAATGAATGAATGAGAAATAAAAAGGAAAAAAAGGTTTGGTAATTTTACTATATCCTGTAATGTCCATTAGCAGTGCTGGACTAAAGTAACACTATCCAAAAGTGCAAATACTGTAATGGCATTTTTTAAATTTCAGATATTAAAGTGAAATCACCAGCAAGCAAAGTACAAGGTACTAATATGTAATTTACCCAATCACTATAAGGTTTTTATGATTTTGAGAAAATATATTCCTTTGCGTTTTCATATAATTGGGATAAGGCATGGATGATGACGATGATAATATTCCCTCCCCTCTATTGTCCTAGATACTTAATTTTAAATTTTGAGCATCCAATTACAGCTTTGATCTTTTTTTGATCAACACAGTCTTGATCTTTTCAAGGGCAAAAGATGCATTTCATTTAAAACCTATTCTTCTAGCTTTACCGCATGCATTATCCTTTTCCACATAAAAATGTGAAGCAAGCGGCCTCCTCCCAAGTCCCATCTTACTGAAACATATGTACGATTGGGTTTCAAAAGCCATTAACATGGGTTAAGGTCCAAATTGTCCTAATGATGATGCTTTTCAAGCTCTGAGCTAGTTTGTGGTAATGTTTTCAATTCATCATTGACCTGGCCAGTTGAACCATTCAAATYGTCACCTGACCTTGATTCTAGGTCCAATTTTGTTGAAACTCATTGTTTGGTCAAAAAAACGTTGACTTGATTAAAAATCAGTTGACCTGAGTGGTTCAACCATTGACCCATTTGACCCAGTCATTGGGTCATGCGGGTTGCACACTCAATGTATGTGCAAACTTTTAGAGACCTCAACTTTGCACTCTTATGTTCGATTAGGGTATTTTTTTTTATTTTGGATAACTTTTCAAGATCTATGTGTCTCAAAGAGCCAAAGACGCCTTAGCCCTTGCCTTGCTATTTTTGTCAAAAAAAAAACTATTTGGGCTTTAAATTGCAATTTTTAACATTTTTTACAAATAAAAATATAAATTAAACATAAAATAATATTTATATATACATATATTACATATCAAAAATAATTTTACATTTTTAATGATAAAATACATGTTTAACACATGCATGACTTGGAGCCAAAGGCGCCTTGGCCCTTGCCTCGCTATTTTTGTCAAAAAAAAAACTTTTTTGGGCTTTAAATTGCAATTTTTAACACTTTTTACAAATAAAAAATATAAATTAACATAAAATAATATTTATATATACATATATCATATATCAAAAATAATTTTAAGTTTTTAATGATAAAATATATGTTTACACATACGACTTGAGGCAAAAGCGAGTCAACCTTCAGGTCGGTTTTTAAAATATTGGTTTGTGATATCAAGTCATTAAGCCAATGTAGAGAATGTGGATACCGCCGTTTTTCACCTGTCTCTTAAATAATCGCTACAATTGCTTCATAGGTGTCACAAGCAACTGACGGCAGTGACAGTAGAAATTTGTACTACCTTCGCTTTATTCTTATTTTCCTCATTTTATTTTCTTCCCCGTGAAAAAGTCCATGTCAATGGTTTATGGCATTGGCTTGATATAGAGAGCAAACTACTTGCGAATTCCATCTGCCAAAAAAGAGAAAGACTTGCCAATTCATTGAGGAGGATTTCGATCAACTAAGTTTGCCTATTTTAATGGATACGAGGCATTTCAGGAAAGTTTAATCGCAATCACTGAATTCTGAGGGAGAAGGAAATTTAAGATGAAGAAAACAGGAGCCAGAATCGCTCTGGCACAATAAATTGATCCTAATCTTGGAGAGAAGGATTTATGGAGAAAAACAAATTCATTCAAAGGAGATGGGGGTGGGAAATCTTTTACCTTTTTTCTTCGTAATTCTTTCATTGGTTTTCCCCCTAAGATTTGTTATTGCTWCTACACACACTGTGTATGTCGTGATACTCTTGACTAGGATCCTTTAGTCCACCTTGGCTACCAGATGAAATAATTTCTTCAATTACTTGCGAGGAGATAACAATGCCCAAAAGCTTTAGTCATTAATACATCGGTAGGACTTGAAGTTGGATACGATCAAGAGAGATTTAGACCAGCAAATCTGACCCACGAACTCTAAAGTGAAAAAACAAGGCCTAAATCCACCACAACGGCAATGCCATGAAAATATAAAAGCTCTGTGACAATTTTCTTCCGGGCAAAGCAGCGAGGGCATGTCGAGTACCAAAACGTTTGATCTTTCTGCTGAATTCTGTTGAGTCTGGTTTTTATTTCCATGTGTTTGGTACAAGGTTCGAAGTATCGATACGATACGCATATTGGCCGTATCATATCGGTACTTAGAAACGGCTGAAACACCTTYTTTTTATTTTTTTTTTCAAATTTTGGTTTTTTTTTGATAATCTTAAAACATGCTTTTTATTATTAAATAAAAAATTGAAAATCTGAAACACCTGAAAACAGGCATTTCGGCATTTCGGACCGTATCTTTTTCAAAAGATATAACACGGGGTATATCGTATCAATACTTTAAACCATGATTTGGAATTGGTAATAAAAAAAAAACCGGCATTATGACACTGAGGTCTATTTAATTATAGATAATGTACAAACAAAGAACTTATAACATATGGTGTAGAGTGCTGACTAATTTAACAAAAATTTGCCCCCATGTCTCGGATGTCAATGATCAATCCCATAAGCGAATCATAAATCAGTATGCAATCATATCTCTTCAAAGTATACCTTCAGAGCTAACTCACTGTAGAAAGAGGCAGCTAAACAGAAATGAGCCAATAAATGCCAAGAAAATAACTTGCTTGTATAGACAGAAAATGCCGAGGCACATTTATACCCCTCCACCGCTTCTCCTTTTTAGTATGGGGCATGCTGAGAAAATGTGAAGAAAGAAAAAGAGAGGGAAAAAGAGGCCGAACTGGAGAGCTCACTGTTCTGAACATTAAGGCACAGAGCCCAGGCTTAACAATAGAATGAGTTCTCCAAAGGTGATTATATTATAAGGATGCAGGCAGTTAAAAATGGAAATGGTGGATTATAGATTACATATCTTAATGTAAACACTAGAACTATATATAAAATATGGGAGCCAGATGACCTTGTCAGACAGTGTATGCTTGCTGGATTGTGTCAATGTCGAGACCCTTCAATCTCACCACTGATTCCACGTGTCCCTTCAACGTGTGGAGCTCTCTTAGCCTGAAATTGAGACAGGAAAATGCACCATAAACCATACCATTCACCCAAAGCACATCTTCCCCCTGACCCCCAAAACCAAAGGCTAAAAAAAGACTTCTTGATGAGACTATAAATACCTACAAACAAGCTGACAATGGGGAGAAAACATTTTTGAGGGAATACTCCATTCAGGGTATCCCTCACAAATGTCTTCTTCCATATATTGATCGACAGCTGTAGCTTTTTTTTTTTTTTTTTTGATCAATACAGCTGTAGCTTGTCCTTTTTAATTCTTTCTTTTTTCAACAGTCCATCAGAACAGATTTCAAACATCACCAGCCAAAATAATAATAAGGGTCATTTTCTAAAACACTCCTTATAGTTTCGTGGATTCACTAAAACCTACCCCATAGTTTTTTGAGTTTCAGTAAAACACCCCCCATAATTTGAACCAGTTTACTTAATTGACCTTCCATTAGATGGAAGTGGAAAATGACAGTTTTGAACTTAACATCCCTCCAAACAAATTTAATCTACGGAAAACAAAAATGAAAATGTCATTCTTGTTCCTAGTAAAATGCGGGCAACAACTCTATTCCGTAATTTGTTTGAAGGAAGACACATTGCTGACAAAGAAACCCTGAATGCCATTGTTCTCTCTTCATTCTGCTGAAGCCAAACATTCTTTGATAGATCTGAAAATCAAACATTGTTTCTTTCTAGAAGCTTGATATGTAGTTTTAAGGGTACTTTTGGAATAAAAAAGCATGGGCTCATGCCCTTGAACATTTTTCACTCTGTTTATATGGCCGCTTTACCATTTTTAGACAGAAATACAAAGGATTCTTAACAGAAGGTCAATTAAGTAAATTGGTTGCAAACTATAGGGGGTATTCTAGTAAACCATGGTGGGTTTTAGTAAATCCATTAGTGTTTTAGTATATGACCCTAATAATGAAAATAATAACATAAACAAGAAAGCATTTTTTTTCCTTATTTGCTAATCCATCATGAGAATCTAGTGATGGTAATGGTCATAATCCTGCATCCTAATTTCTAGATGTGATCCTATTGAATTCCAGATTCTGCACATTGCTTCAACGACTTGCATAACTATGTTGCATGATGGCCTCTTGTTGAGTTTACCATAGTTTACACGATATAGGCTTGGGTCCCATGAGCTTTTTGGAGACCTCAGAATAACCAGCCAATGTGATAGGTTTAATTGGCTGTTACAAAAACTACAACCATACCGAATACTTGGACGAAATATGAATCCATAGCCACAGGGATTTAACTTATATAATTCCCATTTTTTTATTCTCCCTCCTTTTTCATCAGGAAGGGGAATTCTTAACCTCAAAACCATAATCAGTAAGACAAACCAATTAGGCACCAATAAGAAACAATTGATTGTTAGATTATGCCTACCTTGCAATCTCAGCTCTCCTTTTGGCCTCTTCAGCCATCTGGTTGAGATCTGTAAAGCTGGTTCGTTCATTAAACATTGTGTCAGGTGGCTGCAGACCGTGAAGAGTCCTTTGAGCATGTGCCCACTTGAGCTCACGCGCTTCCTTCCCAAAATCCTTCTTTCTGGTGAAGGCAATCTGGAATACAAAGAAAATAGCCACAGACAGTAAGGAGAAAGAGATGGTAAAATTACAATTGTGTATGTTAAACCACTGCAATCCATACCCTTTGCTCAATAACAAGATCCCAAGCCCGCCCACTCAGAGCATATCGAATAATGAACTTTATAAAATCAAGGGGGATGTAGAAGATGACATTATAAATCCAAACAACACCAGCCCAACCCCATCCAATCCCTTCAATTGCAGCAAATCCCCAGTTTGCGTAGACTGCAATCAGTGTCGCTATCTGTTGAAAACAAATGGAAGGTAAAGACATTCCCATAAAGGAAAGAAATTATCAAGAGATTGCACAGAAAGGAATAGAAAGTTCACTAACCAGCTGAGCAACCACAAAAGCCACAATGAGCAACAAGCCAGGACGCTCCAAATAAGACCAACTCCGAGCTCGTGTCACAAATATGAGGGCCTGACTAATGGTGCTCACTTGTAGATATATGGCTGATGCAAGCTTTCTAAAATCATCATGAGCTTCTTTTTGGAGGGTTGAAACCCCAAACACTCTCTGGCAAATCATTATTCAAAGAGCCGATATCTAATCAGTAATGTCTGGGGTCTGTGTATGTACACAACAAAAAATCAACAACATTTTACAAGATCAAATTATTCCTAACTACTAGATCTAGGAAATGACAATATCACAAATATTCAACCTATGCCTTTTCATTAAGTTTCTATTTTGGTGAGAGCTTTGTTGAATTTTTACACTATGTTGAAAAGAAAGAGAATAGAGACTATCAAGTGTTTTGTCAATGCCACTAAACAATAAGAACCTGGCAATTTCTTTTAATTTTCAAAGATCAAAGCCGCATACCGGGAAGAAGTCTGTTTTGTAAGCAGCCCAAAAGAAAATAACTGTCATCATTGCCAAGTAACTACCAAGAATTATCCCAGTTGCAAAAATCTCAGCCAACTTCCAGCTGTCTGGCAAAGGAGAAGGTTTTACCCTATCCTTTGATATGGTCATTATGGTACCTGATGTTCATTAGCAACAAGAACCAACTGTCAAGTGTCACCAAACTACATAGACCATGAATATCCATGCATCATCCACTAGAAAATGTAAAAAAAAAAAAAAAAAACTCTTTTCTTCGGCCTCACACTGGTTATATTTTTCTTTCAGGAATGGGAGGGGAGATACAAACCATCATTGAGGATGGCAATAATGAGCACCATGAAGGGTGGGAAGTCAAACTCCCATATGAGGGCCAGCAGCATAAAACCAAGCTGTCAAAGTGGAAAATTTAGAAAACAAATAGTAGGAAAGAAGTAGAAATTTAATACATACCATAGATTCCATAACAGTAATAATTATAAAGGTTATTTACATGGTAGTTAAAAATATATACTTTCAGATGACTTACCACAATACGGATTGTTATAGAAACCGCATAAATCTGCAAGGAAGAAGAAAAAAAGAGGACAGGCACTATCAAAAAGAGCTCAGATGTCAAACAAGAGCCAATCTTTTATCAAGATAAAAAAAAAAATTAAACTGCAGGACTTTTAACAAATTAAATTGTATTACTGTGTAATTTTTCATCCTCTGAAAGATTGCTCGACTAGTCAACACTGCACTTATAATAACACTAAGGCCAGGTTCTGTCAGGACAATATCAGAAGCACTACGAGCTGCATCAGTTGCATCTGCAACAGCTATCCCTATGTCAGCCTTCTTAAGAGCAGGTGCATCATTAACTCCATCCCCAGTCATTCCACAAATATGTTTCCTTGCTTGCAAGCGTTTAACAATTTCGTATTTGTGCTCTGACACACAAAACAAACAAAATAATAAGTTCAGTCAAAATAAGCAAGCACAAGGGAGCATTTTAGTACTCAAACACAACAACTAATAAAAGTATCCCGCCTCCATACACAACAGTCGTTGAACTCTACCAGGGAAAACACCAGCAAAACCATCAGCTTTCTCTATCAGTTCATCAATTGGCAAAGCGGCAATTGACTCATCCTTGTTCTGACCCAGCAAAGCAGATGATGGGTACATGTTGGTGCCCATTCCTAGACGCCGTCCTGTTTCCTTTGCTATTGCCAGTTGATCACCTGATTAAAATGAAAGTAATAAGAAACAACACACACATACATATACTAGCTGCTAAACAACAACTCCTGGACTAAATGTAGTGGGCAGACTTTTCCATTAAAAACTAGAAACCAAAACACCAAAAGTGATGAGGAGAGAACAGTTTCAGACAGAAAAAATGGAAAAATATAAGACATTCAAAATTATCTACAGTATGTGTTAGGAACATGCATCAATCAAGTCACACAAAACGGTTCAAGTTGCTATCTTGGCCCAAAGCAGGAGAAAAAATAAAAGAACCAATCAACCAAATTAACCAACCCTTATTTTATTTTATTTTTTGATAAATAAATGAAATAATTTCATTGAAAAGAAACACCTAACTCCTCACTGGGCAACCCCAGTCTATGTGTTCCCTCCCCACTCCAGCTCTTGCTAGTGAGTCTGCCAACAAATTAGCACTCCTAGGAACCTATTTGAATGAGAACCAGCCCTTATTTATTTCTCATCTTGAACCAGACAAATGCTACTATCTTGGGATTAAAACTGCAGAATCAGTAATTCTTAATGCAAGTGTTACCTAGAAACTTCATAACTAAGTATTCAGGAGTGTAGGGCACCCTAACATAACATCATTAAACACTTCCTGACACCACAGTGCACTGCTTGACACCTATTGTGTCAACATGTCATCCATCAGATCAGACACACTGGCATGGGAGACCTATTACAGTGGTGTCAAGCTGTGTTGGACACAGAATACTAAGGTGTCTTGTTATGTCATAATCAAACTTAATTTAGTTTTAACTTGTCTTGTGTTATTAAAATGTGACGGCATGCTGTATCATTTTCCCAGTTATAAATAGGGGTGATCGTTATTGGCCCAGCCCAGGCTCGGCCCACAATATATATTATATATTTAATAATATATATAATAAAGATTATATTTTTATATTATAATATATTATATTATGTATTATATATACTTAATATTATATAATATATATATATAAATTCATTTATATTATACATATTTATGAGCCACACTTGTATCAACTCAGACAACAATCAATAGTTAGTGTTACACTCAAATCCCACATTCCTTAGGACTGAGAATGAAGGCTTTGCCTTTATCTATAAAAGGATAGTTAAACCAAGTCAAGCCAAGTTTAAGAATCAAAGTGAGGCCCTAGGAATATAAAAAAAGAGAAATATAAGAGAACATGCTTGGTGCATGATGTTACTTGTATACTACTCTAAGAACCGAAATTTATCTGTGGAACCCAGTTATAAACCCATCTTCTGTTTGTCCCATCTTTACTTTAAAACCAGGGGTGATCATGGGCCAGGCCCCGACCTGCCTTTGGGCCTATGGCATTTAATAGTAAAAATTTAACTATTTAGAAAACTTCAAATTATGTGATGCATAATGCATGAAAAAAATATTGCACAAGCCCAAGCTAAGACGGCTTTGGCTTGGCTTTGGGCCTATGACACAAAAAGTAATCACTCTATGTTTCTAAATCTACAAGTGCACATCCTAATTTTGTCAAATAATTCAGTCAAATAGTATACCATCTTGTTATCTATTTGACAAGTTCTACCCAATGTTCCATATTTCTTACTACGGGTATTTAAGTAACCAATTTAGTTTAAGCATTAAAAGTCAAACAGAGCCTTTCAAACACAAGATAGTTAAGGCATGTGCCATAAGACAGAAACCTACCTGTGATCATTTTAACATTTACCCCAAGATTCAGAGCCCTCCTTATTGTTTCCGCACTGTCATGTCGAGGAGGGTCAAAAAGTGGCATGAGACCAATGAATTGCCATGGACCTCCTGGGCTCTCTTTCCTGCCCTCTGGAACTTCCTGTACATCAGCAAACCAAATACAAAATAAAAAATAGGAAGATTAGTTAGAATTGAAAAAAAAAATCAATATCAGCAACAGGAAAAGAATTAGTTTATTGCCTGGTATGCTACTGCAAGTGACCGTAATCCTCTCTCTGCAAACTTATCGATCACAGCATGAACTCTACGTTCTATGTCTGATTTGTTGTGTACAAGATTTAGAATCTGTCAACCATAATGCTAGTAATGAGGATAAAACAAGCAATAAACAGGAGCCATCAAAATACATAAAAACAGTAATGGACATACTTGCTCTGGTGCACCTTTGCTGACTCGATGCATTTTGCCTTCAGTGTCAATGTAAGTCAGAGCTGTCCGTTTATCAGTTGGATTAAATGGAAGGAAGTGAACCTCTTGAATGCCAGCCCGTGCCTTTTGTTGGTGAACAGAATGAATTAAAAAAATTACCAATAAAAGTAACAAGGTTTAAAATCTAAAAGGAAATTTCTATGATAAGTCAACTTACTTCCTTGGGGTCGGCCAGCATACCAACTATAGCAGCGTCTATTGCATCCTGGTTTTCCACTCTGGAGGCTCGAGCTGCCATCAGCACAACTGTATCAGCGTGAACTCCTTTTGAAAAAACCTGGATAAATAAATTCATGGGAAGGATTAGAAAATGAATATAAATTGTGCCCCCTATTAGAACAAATTCACAACTCCACCCAACCCCCTTAGTACCTCAATTAGATTCTTGTCAACTGTGAGCTTGTTCAAAGTAAGAGTTCCAGTCTTGTCACTGCAAAGCACATCCATGCCCGCCATTTCCTCGATTGCCGTCATTCTCTTTGTGATAGCTCCCTGCATTCGTTGATAACATAACCCCTCTCATATTCAGCGTTGTCAAACAGAATTAATCAATTAGAATTGTCAAGTCACCAGTAAGTCCTTGATGATCAACCTGTTGGGATAGGCGATGTGAACCAATGGCCATTGTCACTGACAGAACTGTGGGCATGGCTATGGGAATCCCTCCAATAAGAAGCACCAGTAGATTGTCAATTCCGGGACGATATTTCCTGTGTTGAATTGGATACATGACAATAATCTCTATTATCATTCCAATAGCAATAGAGCATATACAGAAGTTCCCGATTGCAGTCAAGACCTACAAAGTACCATACGAGAACAAAATTAGGTGAAGATCAGCATGAGAAGACAGGAACAGATGAAGAGAGTTGCATTACCCGAGCCCTTACCTTTTGGAAGTGGCCCACTTGATTTGTGGTGTCTACAAGGTGAGCGGCCTTCCCAAAGAAGGTATGCACACCAGTGGCAATGACCACCGCTTCAATCTCCCCTTGTTTGCATGTAGAACCAGAGTAGACACCATCCCCTGGGCCTTTAGTCACGGGCAGAGACTCCCCTGTAAGAGCAGACTGCAAAACCCAAACAGGATTATTCACGTAAATTGTTTAAGTAGATTAATCCAACACCATGACGGAAGAAAAACCGGGTATAGTTAAAGAAGCACCTGGTCGATTTTTAATGGATCCCCTTCAAGGAGACGAGCGTCTGCTGGAATAATGTCCCCGAGCTTAATACTGATTATGTCACCCGGGACAAGAATAGAAGCTTCTTCTTCGCTCCACTTTCCATCCCGAAGTACCTAAATTATTTTCATCGGAAGTAATGAAAATTGAGAATCTACGCATGTATCAAGAATAAAGTCATCCTCAAGCAACCAAATACTGCCTCCGCCTACTACCTTGCCTTTGGGAGCGAGACGAGCCATGAGAGCAGCAGCAGCATTACCCGCGTTGTTCTCTTCAATGAAACTGATGGTCGAGTTAATGAGAAGCAGAGTAATGATACCAACGAAGTCCTGCCAGTCTGGAGGCTTTCCCTGCAAAACAGAACACATGAATGCATGACTAAAACCCATTATATTAGAGAAATTAGAAAAGAAAGAAAGAAAAAGGAAGAAGGCAATGCTCACTCCTCCGTTGGCGAGTGCGATGGCCATAATTGCAGCAGCTTCCATGACCCATGACAAGGGGTTCCACATAAACCCTAAGAACTTCAATATCTTACTCTCCTAAAACACTCCAATAAATAGAAAGAAAGAAGATGAACCCCGATTAAACACAAGCAGAATACTCAATGAAGAAGGAGAGCATAGACGTAGCAGAGAACCTGTTTCTCTTCAAGCTTGTTGTGTCCGAAAATAACCAATCTCTCCTGAGCAGCCTCAGTTGTGAGGCCCTCCTTGTTACATCTCAAATTCTCGAAAACCTCCTCAATCGGTATATTTTCCTGCAACAACAAGTCAAAAACTCAAAATAGAGTCCATGACGAACGCATAAAGAACCAACCAACACATGCCGCAACGAAAACAACAACTAGGTCCTCGGAGCAGATCTTGTACCAAATCCACGGCCTCCTTCAAGACAGCCTCCAGAATTGTAGCTTTATCTCCCATGTTTATCTCTTCTACTTCAATCTATCCATAAAGAAAGCCCAAGTGCAAGATCAGAAACCATGAACAGTTACAGCAGAAACACACAAAGAACAAGGTTAAACTACAACCAACCAGTACTGGACCAGAGATTATCAATCAAAAAGATTTTTTTTCCCTGTTCAAGAGTTTCAAAGAGTGTTCTTGGCAGACGAAAACGAACACATCTCAACAAGAACCATAACAGCAGAAGCAGTTAAAAAGTAGAAAAAGAGGGGAGACAGCTTTCTCTTTCATCCCTTTTTTCCTTCAAGCTCCTGCCTCAGAGTGAGAAGTGATAAAGTGACAAGTGAGAAGCTCGCGCTCTCTCTCTCTCTCTTCCTCGGTTATGTAACAATGTCAGGGCACGATCGTCTCTTCACGGGTAAACAGCACAAAGCCACAAAGTGGAACATGTACTTGGCGGGTACAACTTCAACGTAATTTTTTTCTTTATTTATCAAATATATATAAATATTTGTGTGGCCCAGCAAGAAGACGGGGAATAAAAAATTAATAAAGAATAAGAAGTCAAGTTCAATTCAACGATGATGCCCTAAATCATCGGATCATAAACAGTCTATATCGTGCGATTGGAATCTTTCCCCGCTTTATTTTATTTTAAATATAAATATATTGTGGTCTCCGGTGTTTGACACCTGTCAAAAGATCTCCCTCAGCTACTCGGGAAGCAGGCTCCAACCRTCTGTCTTCTGTCAGACACGTAGAAAAAAGCAGAGATCGAATCGAAGTAACCGTACAGCTTGTGTACAGATCAACTATGTTCGTCGGGTAGTAGTCGGTGTATCTGGTTCGTCAAACGTGTGGGACCATAATAAAACAAGAAAGCAACTTTTCTTTAAATTTTATTATTTTATTTTATGTGGTATTTGGATTATTGGTATGTCATCGTGAGGCCATTGTGTCTTATCAACAGTCTTTTTATCTTTGCCAGATGCAAATGCCCATACTACCATTGCTTCCACGCAACTAGGCAAGAGTCAAAGTACGAATATATTTTGAAAATGTAAAAATATTTGKATATATCGAGTTAAATTTAAGGTTAAATATATACAAATAATGTATAAATATATTAAAAATATAATTAATATATATAATACATAAATATCATATAATTTATTAATTATCTAAAAATTTACAATCACTTTTTATGAATTTCTCTTAAATTTATCATAAAATTTTTAAAACGCTCAAAATTTAGCATGTCAGTAAGTTTTTATTTTTTAATAATTATCATCCGTTAAAGTATCGTTAATGTTCATTAGCAGAAATTGTCCAGCACAAATGCAATTCTTATGATCAAAATACCCCCCCCCCCCTAAATGGCGAATCAGCCTTATTAAACATAATTTTGTGGGTAATCTACTGTTCATCGTCCCAAACAGCGGCGGCAATGGATTCAAGTCGACTCCATTTATGACCAAAACATCGAAGAGGAGATAATGACTAACGGGATGAGCTTCGACAAATCGGTCGGCTCCAATCTCCTTCTTCGACATCAGTGAAGCTAAGAATGTCGATTTTGTTAGTTTGAAAGAACGAAGAGAACCATTTTCTTCAGCAGAGCAGATACAACAGCAAAAGAAACAGGCATTGCCCTAACTTCGTACCCCCTACTTCCTCTTCCTCTCTTTCTAGAGTACGAGAGTGGTAGAGAAAACAGAAAAGTCAGAGAGAATAATTATCATATCTCCGATTTTCTCACTCATTGCAGTCGCCGGCAACAGATGTGCGTTAACCGCCAGCCCCTCGTTCTTATCTAGTCCGATCCCCCTTTTCCGTTGTGATCGGATTGCTCTGTAAATGTTCCTGGTCCGATGAGGTATTTTGGATGTGCGTGACCGATTGACGGGGATAAGCCCATCGAAAAGGAAGAAATACAACGTTTGAAATGTTTCTGGTCCGAAGAGGAAGCCCCGTACGCACTGTTTGAGACATCTTCCCACAGCACTCCCCCTCCGACGTCGACGTAAGCTGAGTCGCCAAACCTCACCACCTCAATCTGAGTTTCCATGGACCCCGTGTCGATCACCAGCCCTCTGTCCGTCATAGCCTGGCCATTGATGGAGTGGCCGTTACCCCTTGCAGCGACCGTGAGATGGGCGGACCTGGAAGCTGCTCTGATTACTCTAACTACGTCTTCTTAAGAGGCTGGCCTGATGACCGCTAGCGGCTTTGCTTCAACGATACCGCCCAAATCCTTGGCAACAGCAGCGGTGCGGACAAAATCTATTGTCCCTTGTAACTCAAGGCCTCTTAATAGGCTTGCATCGTCGTTGTCGCCTGGTTTGTTTCAATTCCATTTTCATGAACGAATCGCTCCAGGAATGCTATCATCATCGCCGTTGGCGGCAGAGAGAAGGGAGAAACCATCGAAGCGGAAGAAAGAGAAGCCGGAGATAAYGAAGGTTATAATAATTGATTAACAATGTCCGTTAGTCAAGTTACCGTTACTTCGCTGACAAAGTGCGTTTTGGACGTTTTGAAAAGTTATGTTGAGTTTAAGAGAATTCATAAAAAGTGATAGTGGGTTTTAGACAATTACCCATTTAATAATTTATTAATCAATTATTATATCAATTGTATCAAATTTATTAAAATTTCTAAGACATATCATATGCAATTCATAACTTTTAGTTACTAAAATATTTATTCTATTATTATTATTTTATTTCTATAATTTTTATAAAATTAAAAATCATTTTTTATATAAATGTAGATTAATAGATTTGATAGATTCAATTTAATGTTATGTTCTTGAATATTTTATAAACAATTTTCTATTTTTGTAAATAATAAATATGTTGTTAATTAATGCAAACTAAAATATTAATTAATAATTTAAAAAATATATAAAAGATTTAAGATATATATTATGTGCATTTCTTGGGATTCGAACAATCTTTTGATGTAAATATTGATTTGATAGATTATTTATTTCATTATTTTATAAAATATTAATTTTGAATATTATTCTATTTAATATTTAGTTGGAGTTGTTAAATATAAACATATATAATTCAATTAGCCTGATAAGCACAAATGACATGATACTGAGGCTATAGTTGTAGCATTTCCCATGCCCCTTACTAATATACCAAATACGATATACCCCATATAAAATGTACCATATTGATATTTCAAACCTTGGTTTCATGTCCAAGTCATACAAGTTAAATCAGAATTTTATTAGAAGAGGAAGATTATTAGGTGGGCTTTTCAAATTTTTTATCCTTTTTGGAAGAAATTATAAAATATAATCTACATCTTCCTTTTGTTTCTTTATTTTTATGCCACATAATTAATCATTGTTTACTATATCTCTCATTGTTTCGTTGAATTCTTAAAGCATATTCTCACTTTCTTTTTAACTTTCCCCTTCCGATAAATTATGAAATCTCTAAGAAATCATAATATTAAGACTACAACATTTACATCATAACATGTAAGTTAACCCAAAAAGATTTGGCCACTTAAGTCACTCTATAAGCATCCTTGATATAAGTCCTATTTACAAAAACAAAATTAACGAGTTTGGATTGGGCAATAGGAAACTTAATATTGTCCCCAATATGATTAAGCCCAACATCTTATATTGGGATTTTTTTGCTACGTATTTATGATCATGTAGGGCATGCTTTGCTCATAATTTAACAATGGATATGGCACTAAACAACTCCACCAATGTGATTCTATCTTATATCAGTACTAGTCCCAAACTCGAATAGAGGAGGAAGGTTGCATCAAGTTGGCATTTAGCACTAAAACTTTTTACCAATCTCTCATGATCATGGATATGCCACTAACCAATTCTGCCATAAATGGTTTTCAAAACAAGACCAGATCGGATGGTCTGATTGGAAAAACCGGAAATCGATCATGTGACAGATTTCATTTTTCCCCAAAACTGGAATTTTGCAAAAAATCGTTGATTTGGTCAGTAAACCACTGACCCAAGCGGTTGAACCATTTTTTTTGTCAAAAGCGTTCAACCCGAGAACCGAATCCCTGACCACTTCGATCTCCAGGTTGGTTTTAAAAACCTTGCTGCCATATGTGAGCTCGTCTTATATTGTCGATCCCAAGCCCAAATAAAAGAGGGCTGCATCAACTTAGAAGTTGTCGTTAAACCTTTTGCCAAATGTTCATGATTAAGGATAGTCCCAAGCTTAGATAAATGAGGTGGGTTGCATCAAGTTGGTAGCCGGTAATAAAACTTTTGTCAAACTCTTATGATCACGACATAGCACTTATAGAATGGAATGGTGAAACAAAGTTCATTTAGCCAAATCCCATATGGTTGGGAATGATGAAGATGTTCATTCATGTAGGACACACATGATTATCCAAATGCTATCATCTAAGTGTTTGTATATAAAAGCAAGGCCTTTAGATTATAAGGTTTATCTTTTTAAACTCATAGGGCCCGTTCATTTGCATCGAAGCTTGACGTTTGAATGCCTTCAAAACTATAATAATTATTTTTAGAGGTGTATTGGAGTTGCTGAATTTTTCTTGGTTCTGAAGTTTAAATTTACAAAATGTTGTTTTGAATGTTGAGTTGTGAAAATGGCGATTTACAAAATGTTGTTGTTTWGAAAGCTTGTTTGACTTTAAACAGATTAATTACCAATTAATTAAATAATTATAAACAATAACAACAATAATAAATTATTTATTATTAATAAAATTAATAATTAATATTATTAATTAAAATAGTAATTAGTGACTATTTAATAAAGAATGGTAATTACTTTTATAATTAACTAAAATGATTACTTTTTAATTTTTAATTAATTACAGAATTATTAAAATAATGAATTAATAAATAATTGAATAATTAAATATGTAATTAAATAATACATAGATAATTGATAAGATAATACTTAGATAATTAATAAAATAATAGAACAAAACAATAATTCATAAATATTTCATCATTATTATTATTATTATTATTATTATTAATTAAACTAATAATTCATATTTATTAATTTTATAATTAATTGAAATAATAAATTATTAATTAATTACATAATTATTTTTGATTGAATTAACTAATAATTATTTAACAATTATGTATTTGATAATAAGATAATTAAAATAATTAATTATTTTATAATTTAACATATACTAAAATAATTAAGTATGGCATTAAAAAACATGGATAATTAATAAAATAATAATTATTATAATGTCTAAATAATAATAATAATAAAATTATTATTATTATTATTATTATTAAAGATATACAAATTGTCATTGACATGGATAGTTGGACCGTTCAGCCCAAAAATCAGTTAGGGCATT